GGGGTGAAACTCACTTAACTATTGTCTCACTTAGCAACAGAAATTTGGGGGTTAATTTTGTTTGTAAGTCGAGGAAAATACAGGTAGTCTCAACTTACAACCACAACTGAGCCCAAAGTTTATATTGCTAAGTAAGACAGTTATGTGAATTTAGCCCCATTTTATGATTTCTCTTGCTACAGTTGCCAAGCGTCTGAATTTTGATCACGTGACCACGGATATGCTGCAACAGTTGCGTGAAAAAATGGTCATTAGTCACTTTTTTCAGTGCACTTGTAACTTCAAACTGTCACTAAATGAACTGTTGAAAGTCAAGGACTACCTATAGTTATGAAATAGAAATAAGCATGTAGAAAACACTGTACACGTATAAAGAAGTATTAAAATTATATTATGTCAGTGGTCATTTGCACAAATAATGTTTTGCATATGGTTACAAGAGTTTTCCCATTTGCCTGAAATTGGATTTTGGTTCATGAAAATCGTGTAATAGGTCATGATAGCAAAAAGAGAAGGAACAGAAATTCTTCCTGTGACTTTTCTTTAAAAACGGAATTACAAAATACACGTAAGAGCACCTGAAATAATCTCAGTTTACTGCAGATGCCTATTATATTTTGTAGTTAGAACCATATAACCAAAGAACATCAAAGTATTTGCTGCCCCACAGTCAGAACCTCTTTTCATCTTTGTACTCTTCATTAAATTCTCTAATTTTTCATGATGAAAATTGAATTAACTTTGTTTTATTCAATTTCTTTACCATCTGTACAAATGGATAGGCTTATGCTTAAGCCCTTATTTGTAAAAAAGTCATACCTTTTTCTAAGCAGATTTATGTACCAATTGGCATTCTCATTCATTTTTGGGTCTATTAATTACTTAATAACTTTTTCTCATTCTTACCCATCTGTTTATGTTGACTAACAAAGTAATATTTTTCTCCTGGATCACATTCATTAGAATGTAACATATTTTATTCCTAACTTATTTCCTTTTTTTTCCATTTTCACAATTCATGGGAGTATAACATGCACTTATCACCAACCTATTTGTTCCACAAACCCACAACAGCTTATATGGCACCAATCCATTGTTTTTCATACTGTATGTGTTTTAGCACTTCCATTCATAATGGAACTTATACCTTCTTTTCCCTGTAGGCATTCATCAACTCCATTTTCTAAGATCAGGTGATCTATTACATTGTTCAACATTCTCTTAGTTTCACACAATCTTAGCTCCCTTACTTCGCCCCTTTTATCATTTACTTCTGACATAATTCAAGTCACAATCTTCCTTAAGTCACAATCATCTCCAGCTGGTAGATATTGGCCTCTCCCACCCATTAAGGCCACAAAGGCAGTCAAAGCCAGCTTTACCTCAAGTGGGTTCATCCCAGGATCTCCAATCTACAGACTACCATGCAAAACTGGGATACAAAAATGTGCTGATGACACACATTCAGGATGTCTTCTTTGGAGATTTTTAAAAATAAAATAGTTTTTAAATCTCCTTTCTTTCCTATGTTGTTATTTTATGGATTTTTGGAAATTCCAGCTTTTGGGAAAATACATGTCCCATGTTCTGAATCAGGTTTTTTGTTTTTTTAAATCTGTATCAATATGTTTCTTATGCTCTATATAAACACTCATTTTGAAATACTTTTTTCAATTTAGAGATTGGACAGGACAATTTTACTTGGAGTAGCTTAATTAAGCAGTCACAGTTAATAATGTTAGTGTGAAACCTCAACCAGCTTCCGACATAAAGCATCTGTTTTACTCTCTCCTGTTTGGCTATATAGTGTACATTTTTCATCCTTCCCCCTAATTTTGTTTTCCATTTTGAGTCTGAAGATGACTTGGCCTACTGTGAGCCATGAACTCCTCTTGAGAAGCATAGAAAGGCAGACTTAAGAATCCTGAGGGCAAGCCCTCCAACCTTCCAGATGTGCTTGGTGTAAAATTGCAGAGCAGCAGAGCTCCTGGATAGATATGGCTAGTTGGCTAATCCCAACACCCCTAAAGATTTTTACATGTTACTGTAAAGTTAAATAGCAAACCTGCACATTGGCCCATTAGTTCCTCCAAGAGAGATTTAGCCCTCTATTCCAACCTCACTTGATGAGTACCAGCTACTCACAGCCATTTGACAAAATCCAACTACAATTACTCTATTTCAATCAGTGCTTTGTTTCTAGGAGTGCAAACAGGAAGGATTGTAAATTGAACAAACATTGTCACCTTTCTTAATTTTTATGAAGATGGTCATAAATTCTAACCAAGATTGGCTTGGCCCAGATCACACTTGGTGCTATTCATTCAGTAGTATTTGTATAAAAAGAGACATCTTTCTTTTACTGGTGGCTTCTGGCAAATTGTCAGCTCTTTGCAGTCATTATTATACTTTACTATTCTCAACAATTAGCATTCCATTTCTTGATTACCTGCTGTTTTCACCTAGCTGACAAAAGCAACATGTCTAAAAAGTGCCTGTTGAAAAAAGTTGGGGTATATAATCTGAATTTCCTGGAAAAGCACCAGACTGTATTGTATCCCTAACAATTCTGCTTTAGTTGTTTTGTTTGTTTGTAAATAACAGAACTCAAATTCTCCTGAATGGATTTATTTCATAGAATTACCGTCTCCCTTACAGATGGATGTGACCTGTCTAAGATTGAGAACATTTCATTTCAAGCTAAAAATTTGCCTAAACGACCATCTTTCTGAAAAAGTAATATCAAACTATTTAACATCCCATAAATTAAGAATAGAATTTAGTTTGGACAATTTCTTCAACTGTCAGGTAAGAGACAATATTGAAATCTAATAATAGGACTTTCTGATGGAATGGTCTTCAGGAAACAGTACCAGGAGATATCTTCATGTTTGAGTTAAATTGTATCCTGTTTTAGAATTAAAGAGGTGACCTCAGTGATGTGAGATTACTTCTGGGCCAATTCTGTGTCTAATTCTGCCATTTTTATTATTATTAAAACCTCCCCAGTCTGGTACCTTTTGTGCTATTGATTCTGGAGTTACATTCTGCCACTATTATAAAAATCCATCTTTAATAAGAGCTACAATTTGAATCCTTGGTTAAACGTTAAAACCTAAAATTCATCTGTGTGGTTTCAGAATAATAATTATATGGGATCCTGTGCATATCTTTTTACTGTTGATATTATTCTCTTTTCCAGATTATTCTTTGAGGCTTTTCTATATTGTAGAGGTGCCCATATGACCAAAGGTTCACATCAAAATTATGAAATCACACTATTATGACACAAGCATAGGTCCATGCAATGTCTTAATGCATATACAAAAGGGGCAACGGTGCTCTCATTATTTTTCCCCTATCCTGTAGAAACTTGTGCTCTCTGACCTTTATTCTTTCTAGACATACAATTGTCTGAACTACTGTCCTAGCCATGCCTTTCAATCTTCATTTTTTTTTACTTTTCTCCAAAAGAAACAGAAATCTTCCAGCAACATCTGGAGAAGCTATTGCCAGCAGAAATTATTTCTAAATCTAGGGCAGCTTCAACGATATCATCTCCATTATCCTAATGTCATTAATCACTTTATATTGCTATGTTAAATGTTTAAAAACTACATCTGGATGAACAAAATACCCTTTTTGCACTTTTTCTTCACTATGTACATAAAAACGTCACCAGTCATCACTCACAAGCAGATTGTATCAATTAGGTAAGTATAAAAACAAAAATGTGTTCAGATGCATTTTAAATTTATCTCAAGACATCATGATATACTGACAATAGGGCTCACTAAACAATTCTCTTATGGCTTCCATTTGTCTTCTATATAGCCAAGGGATGGGGAGACAGAACTTTTGTTCCAAAACAGAAGTACAAGATTGGAAGGAATCTATTCATCAAAATATTCCTTAAAAAAGAAAAAGAAAAACCGAAAGATTTTGCCTGAAAGCAAGGGTAAGACTACAATCTGCTTAGGAACAACTGTTCAGCCAAAGAAGCATGCATTTTTTATTAGGGGAGTACGGTTAATAGGAATTGTGCAAATTACATTCTATCACATGCATAGAAAAAATGTAATCCTGTATTAAAAGACAACAGATGCTTGGAGCAAAACATAGCTCGCTTTTTAATTTTTTTTTAAAAATAGACCTATTATCTGTTGGGTGGGAAGCATCTGAATGTATCATTTTAAAACACTGTTTATTTGAACTAGTTAAGAAGTTAGGGGCAATTGTTTCTATAATTAAGTATACAGCAAACAATTAAAAAACTCTTTTAACATGTTATAGTTTGCAAAAATCCTTAAGAGATCTGAAAATTTTGCACATATTGCATATGATTCTTACCAAGCACATAAGATAAAGAAACTGAAAAGTTTGTGCAGGGAAGAACACTTTGGTAGACTTTATGTTATTCTCTGATATTCTCTAACATATACCATCAGTTTGAACAGAGGTTTAACTCTACACAGCCCCATATGGCTTGCATTCAAACATGCCACACTGAATCACAATTCCCTCATGATCTGTCCTAAGAACAACAAACTTTCTAGCCAAAGTTGAAAGGTAAAAAAATGTTTCTTAATTCATGAGTTAAAAAGCCAGAAGCAGCATCTGCAGGGAAAAAAAAGTTTTCCATTTGCAAAGAGCTAAACCAGTTCCTTGAGAGACATTTAACAATACATTTTTCAAGAAAAAAAACCTTAAATATCCTGCAAGGAAACTTTGTATAACATAGCTACAGTTCGAGCTCAGTGCTTTAAGTGTCCTGCTTAAATCCTTTTACATCCAGTTTTAAAATGTTGTCAAACCAAAGATAAAACTACTACTAATTTGAAAGTATGAGAGTTAAACCTTGAGAACAGAATCAAAGAGTAGCAAAACAAAATAGAATCAAAACCAGCAAAGCACATGTTAGAAAACTAAAGGTAAACCAAGTATAAGCATGCTTAGTCACCAGAAATATTTAGCTGCAGTAAATATATAGATTTACAAACCTGTAAATGTAGTTAGCTTCTTATAACCTTTGTCTTCAATCATCTTACTGTTGTTCAGCCTCCTACTTTCTGCTCACAAATTCTTTTTCCCACCCCTGTCCAAAGGAACTGCCCAGATTCTGTGGTGTAATATGAGCAGGGAAATACCATGTGCCTCTGATATGGTTAATTCTCTTTTACCTCCCTCTGATTTGCAACAAAAGAAAGCAGTAACACTACAAAAGATTATTTTTTAGTTTGGTGCGATCTAAAAATTAACACAGCTCCTTCAGTTGTGGAAATCTTAAAAGAAAAAAAAATAATACATTTAAATAAATGTCATCATCTGGACTTTCTGGATGTTTTTTTTTTTTTACTAATTCTGCATACATGCTAACCTTTCTACAAGCTCTTGAGGTACTTCAAGTGGGTTGAAGATCAGTAATATTTGAAGTACTGTATAAGATGTATAAACTCACCAAGACTTCCATTTTAAAGAATAAAGATATCGTTGAAGTTTTTAAATTTCTGAATATTTTCCATGGCATTATAGATCAATAGAATTGTTTAAATAATTTGTTTGCCTTCACTGAACCATAATTAACAATAAAAATCAGCAGTTAAAAATATTCGAAGAATGGTGAAGCTAAACCACATTTAGATTCCTTTCAAAAATCTATCATCTTGCTTAGTTTGTAGAATTTTCTCAGAATTCAGATAGGTTCACCTGGCATTGATAGGTCTCCAATCTCTTCCATATAGAATGAGTACACCAAGAACCATATGAAGTGATGGGGAGAAGCAAGGGTGCTAAGATGGTAGATGTGGCCTTTGATTACAAAGCCCTATCATCCCTTTGTACTTTGACCAAGTCACTCCTCTGCTAGAAATCATCAACTTGTAAATGTCAATGGCGTCCAAATTGGGCGTAGTCACATGAAGACCCCTTTAAAGACCAGCATGACTTACAACCATAATTCCGGGCACAGTTACAGTTGAGAGTTGAGGATTATCTATATATTATGTGCTGCTCTTCAAAGAGGCTACTCTAATTTTTTCAACCTTATGAGATCAGAAGTATGGTTACTAAGGAGTGGTGTATAGGTATATGTGGGTGTGGAGGTGGAAGTGTATGCATCTCTTCTTTTGGATGCTTTCCTCAGACAATCTCACCTTAACATAAATCTCATATCCTTTCAGAATCAACCCATGCAATTTTGTCTTGCCAGGTCTTCTGTATTTAATTTGTACAGGTAGTCCTTGACTTACAACCATTCATTTAGTGACTGTTCAAAGTTACAATAGCATTGAAACAAATGACTTATGACTGTTTTCACACTTATGACCATTGCAGAACCCCCACGGTCACATGAACAAAATGCAGGCACTTGGCAACTGGCATGTATTTATGTCCCGGGGATCATGTGATCACCATCTGTAACCTTCCCAGCCGGCTTTCCACAAGCAAATCAATGGAAGAAGTCAGATTTGCATAATGACCACATAATTCACTTAACAACTCAGTAATTTGCTTAAACAACTGGGCTAAAAAAAATGGTGCAAAACTCATTTAACAACAGCCTTGCTTAGCAATGGAAATTTTGGGCTCAGTTGTTATTGTGTGTTAAGGACTACCTGTGCAGTTTTTCCTATTTTTCTATTGATTTTATGACTAGTCCACTTCTTGTACTTTTTACTATATTAGGACTTGTGTTATTATAGACCATCTTGACAATCCAAAATCCAAAACAAACAATAAAAATGACAAGGGCAGAAGTAGTTATGTTCCTTGTTCAACAAGTCATGGTTAAATGTCTTAATTAAGCTTTAAATAAGGAGTACAGCTCTTCAGCTCTGAAGAAGCTTCTTGTATGAGAAGCGAAATGTCTTCAAAGAAAAACAAGAAAGCCCAGTTGCCTCTTGAAAAAGCACCTTTGGGAGAACCATGACCTGAATGATTGAGAATCTCCATAGACTAGGGGTAGGCAACCTTGGCTCTTTTATGACTCGTGGACTTCAACTCCCAGAATTCTTGAGCCAGCATGGCTCAGCATGGCAACCTCTCCCTTTCTCCTCAGCATGGCTGGCTCAGGAATTCTGGGAATTGAAGTCCACGAGTCATAAAAGAGCCAAGGTTGCCTACCCCTGACCAAGACCTTTATATAAGGATCACTTCTCCATTGATTGGAGCGCTATACAAGGAATCTAATAGGATCAGAAAAGAATATACATTGTTCCCTACAGAAGAAAATACCTCATAACCAGGATATTACACCAACATTGTTTACTGTACTTCCAGCACATTATAACTATTGCCTCAGAAGCTACTGTCAAACTAGTCTCAGAAAATAAAATTGACTGCCCTTTGTCAATCCCTGGATATAATACTTTGTCAATCCCTGGATATAAATGCTTTTCTAAAAAAGCTATGTTATATTAAACAAAAAAAAAAGCAAACAGAATAGCATAGTCCCGTAAAGTGTCTTCTTATACTACTGCAATTTTAAGCTCCAGAAGGGCAGTTTTACTACTCCTGGCAATGAAGTCAGGAATAAAAGCTACGTTAAATGAAATTTAGGAAGGCTTTTACTTGAGAGAAAGTGAGAGACACCTGGAGGGGAATGTTACATTGCAAACAGCTGCAAGAGAAGATTAAAGTGAAGGGAGAACAAGGATGCTCGGAGAATAAAAAGCAGACATAGAACTAGAGTATACAGGAAATGCATACACTGGGGTTAACTATTAAGTGCAAAAATCAGAAGAAGTCTGGTAGCACCTTTTACTAAAAGTTATAAGCTTTTGTGAGCTGCAGCTCACTTCAAAAGATCCCTGTTTGCTATCATTGATTAACTCAGTTCACTTCCTAAAGATCTCTATACTTTTTTATAAAATGCATTAACTGGAAAAGATGTTAGCAGACTCCTTGGATATTTTGTTACCACAATCTAACTCAGCTCTCCTCCAACAGAATCTATTAAGTAGAAGTGTGTTTGAAATCTATGAAAATTAAAACAACAACAAAAAGTTCAATAGATTATGGAAATGTTCTGGTTCACATTAGATAATCCAGAAATACTAGAATTGTTAGTAACAAATATATAGATATGAGTCTATTGCAAATAAATGTGCACATTAAGGTGCCAATCCAGAATTTCCATTATAAGAAAAGGACTTTGTTTTTCATTTGTGCAAGGGCATTTGATCCTATTGAGATTCTTGCTTCTAGAAGGAGACTGTGGATTTCCTTCCCTCTTCTGGAAGAGCTTAAGGGACTTCACACAATAACCTATAGCAGGGGTGTCAAACTGCCGGCCTGCGGGCCAGATGCATCATGCTGAAACTGCGCCCACCCATTGCCGGCAATGGAAAAAAATTCACGATACGTCACAACACATCACGTGATGTTGCGAGTTTGACACCCCTCACCTATAGGTAGAACTTGAGTCAAAATTTCAGCTTAAAATCATAATATTGATTGTCAAGGGTAAGAAACCAGGAGCTAGAATAGTGTTCACAAGTACTATGACTTTATTTCATGCTACGTATACATAAGAATCTTATCTACTAACAGGCAAGGGAAACTGGTGCTAGAAAAGAGTCAACGGAATTCATAGGGGGCTGGCCTTAGGTTTCTTGTGGGAGGGCTAATGACTCCAAACTGATGATATGTTTGACCCTGCCCTCAGAGTCAGCCTGATCATTTCCTACATGAAGTCCATTAAATATGTATTTGAGGATGTAGATGTGTGTGGATGTTATATAGGAGAGAGAAGAACTTACATTATATAAAAATAACAGAGATTATTTGGAAAAATAATTTTTTTCAAAACTCCTCCTGATACCTATTTTTTTTGTATTTCTATCCTAGTGTTGCAGCTAATATAGGTAAGTTATTGATCTTGTCATATAGCTATTATGATTTATTTTGTTTCATACCAAAATATTTTGGAGATGGTTTAGTTAATTCCTGAACCAAAAAGCAAGTTGGATATTTCAGTGCTTAAGTATGTTAATGTTCTTAACTGCATAGCAAATTCACAAGGGCCTACTGGAACAGAACAGAGATGTTTCTTCTATTATGTTCCCTTCATAAGTAATCAGATGCAAATAGGATGTCTAAACAAGGCAGGAAGGCAATAGCAGTTATTTTGCAGCAATTTACTATTCAGGATATATACTGGAGACAGCATATACAACCTTATTATCCATGAATTGTTAATTTGGTGGCCATCACTATATTTTGATGTAGCAAATTCTATAGATTAATTATATGATGTAGGAAGTAGTATTTCCTTTAATCTGCCCCATGTTGCTTACTGTTTGATTTACTTGGATGATTCAAGGTATTGCATTATAAGCAAGTTTTCCTCTCAGTGTGCCCTCTCAAAATAAGAACTCAATTCTGATGAAAGAACATAAAAATAACTCTTTAGGGATAAAAGTAAAATTGAATAATAAATTGCTTTGTATTCCTTTGTAATGTGAAAAGTATTACATTTCTATGGAGAGAGAAGGTAATGGGGATAAGAATCTTTCTTTTCTGTAATATTTGAGACTACCATGAAGGTTTGTGGATGATCCCAACTCAGCTGAGGGAAGGGTTACATTCTCAATGGTTTTCATTTGAAAGAAGAAGGTCTCTTCACTTCTTACTACAGATGGATAGTAAATTTTGCATTCCCCCCAGGACTATATTATCATTTAAATTATATTCTTCAGTGTCATATTCCATTCTGTATTTTCTGTGTATAACAGGCAAAAATTATTATGGTTTTTTTGATAATTGATAATTATTATGGTTACTTTTGATCAAGTAATTAGCAGCATGGAATATTCACTGATATTCAGTGAGTGGAATGTTGTTTCTAAAGTAGTTACTTTGAGGATGGTAGCAAAATAAAAGGACTTTGGCACTACTGAAGAGGTACACACAAACCATAGGGGCAGGAGACCTTTATTTGTATGAAAGAAGTGCAACACACACATTTGCTGTGAGTTCCCACTGACAACAGAACACAAAACAAAAGATACTTAGATACTTATGTATATGACCATTATGTTATTCCCTTTCAG